ACCTGTCTCTCAAACCGAGACACACATTTATTTTTTTTTTCTCTTGGCTCCTAGGTCTCATGGAAAGGGCAGATTCCAGAGAAGCAGAAGGGAGTGAAGGTTGTTGCCTGTGTTCAGAGCAGTGAGTGCTGCACAAATGCTTCTAGTGGAAGACTGTAGGATCATGGAAGTCTAAAGTATCATGTCGCATTTCTGATCTTGCCACGAGGATATAATAATGTAAGGCATCCTTGAACCAGGTCACTGTTGCTGTGTCTTGTGGTTTCTTTCCAGATTCAAATCAGGAAGACTTCCAGCTAAGAGAGACTGAACTGCAGTGACTTGCTCCTTCTCCTGGATTTGGTCTCGTAGAGAGTTAATTTCTACCTGCTGCATTTCTATGATTTTCTCATTTTCCTCCTCTGCATTCAACCTCAAGACAGCTGGGCTAGACAGCCGTTCACTGGAGGGAGCTAGAAGGTAAAATCAGAGAGGACATAGCACAGTCACAAAGGTCCAGCTCATGCAGTTCTTTGGCATGAACAAGGGAAGGCATCTTTCAGGACTGAAGGAGTACATCTAAATGGTAAGATTCTGCTGTATTTAGCAGCTTCTACAATTAACATTACAATATAACAGGTCCCACCAGGCAGACAAGCTAGAATGATACATAGACAGTAATAGAATTGTTCACCAAGGACAAAAAGGGCTCCTGGAATGTGTAGTGACAATATGGAAAACATACAAGAAGGACAATTCACCTGTGTCTTGAACTGCTTTTTTTTTCTTGGTTGCATGAGCCACCTTCAGTTCTTGCTGCAGGTCATTAATTTCCTTAATCAGACTCACATTTTCCTGCAAAAACAATATGCCTGGTAAGGAAAAGCACGGGTGCTATCTGGCTGAGCAAGATATATCTTCATCTCACTGAGAAAGACACTGAACAGTATAGAATCAGTATCACAGGCAGAAGATACAGGGCAATCAGTACAGTACACAACATCTCAGATAAGGTCACAGTGGATTGACACAAACCATGAGAGTATTCAAACCACGTTAGCTCCATAAACTAATATTTGTTATGCTTTTACGACTGCAGCTGCACTCCAAGGTATCATCTTCCTTGCCATTTCCACAGGGAAGCTCAGAGCCCTTCCTAGACTGATCCAATTAATTCAGAATTAATGTGAAGAATTCCCATCTCTCCCTCCAGTGTGTATTATTTTGCTTTTCATTTGTCACAGTGTATTTGTTCATTTAAATTATCTGTATCTCCTTGCAGTTATTCAAAGCCCTGTTCATTAGTTCTGACAGACATCACTTTTCAACACCCATTCCAAATTACTAAGAAATATAGAAAGCATATAGAGACTTGAGAGACCTACTGCTACCATGGTGTTATGAGGAAAAGTTAGCCATGTATTCATCTTTTGTCCTTTTTTTAGTTAGTTTTCAGCCCCTAAAAGTTCAATCTTTAATTCAAAAGTACATTTTTTTAGTAGCCTACCATGAAGCACTTGCTGAAGAAGCTGTGAAAGTACCAGTATATATACTTTATCCACTGTTGCGACAGATTCAAAGGCTTCAGCAAAACCAGTGGGGGCTAATACTAGTGAAGGATGATAAAACAGTTTCTCATGATTCAAACACAGGAGCACCATTAACAAAATATTTTTTTTTCTGAATTCAGGAGAGAGAAGTGGAATTGTATATTTGCCTCTTACAAAGACAGTGAAATACCTTATCATATCTATAACTATGGCAAATGTTAAACAGCTGCCATCATACTTGAACCAAGAACAGCAACTATTTCAGCTACCTGTGGTGGGTTTTTTAGAAGTTTTGGAACTCAGCACCATTCCAGACCCTGGAACTTCACCATAAGTGGCTATATTTAAAAAATGATAAATGGCAATAAGGTATGCTTTGAGTGCCTCACATAATACCAGTCTCAAGCAGTAGGGAACCCACTAAAACAACAGGAGATTAACAAGGATTAATGAAATCTTCCCATGTGAAAGGTGTCTTCAAATCTTGGGGGATTTTTTAATGATAATTTTGATTGATAGAGATAATTATGTTGCCATAAGAGATTATGCAAAGCATATGATTCAGTTCCTTACAGTATACTTATGAAAGTATTGGCACCACACAACTGAAAACTGGATAATAACAAAGTTTACCACAACTATCTGTACATTGATGCACTCAAGGAGTTCAAGTTGGTAGCAATAACTCAAGGCCCTTGTGTGAGGCTGATTCTCAATACTTCACACCAAGACAAGTTCAGCAGCTGTGCCTTAGTTTCCCCTTAGCTGAAAGTCACTGACAGGAGGAAGACTGTGGGATGCATTAAGGTCTGAACTTGTTGGGCAAGAACAGTCATTCCTGCAGTGGTTATGTTGGCCTCTAAATGCAGCATGAGTTGGGTGTTCAGGCAGCCTGCTCTGGAAATATAACACTTTGTTGACTCTGATTTATTTAATTCAAGCCTTTAAATACAGATGAAATTTGACTCTATGCATTTATTCCAGAGCTTGATCCTGAAAGGAACACATGAAAAAGGTAAATTCCAATTCAAGATAATTTTATTTTGATCAACTTTCAGGGTGAGGTCACAGCATTTCAGTTTAGGTGTAATTTAGTCATAAGCATCTTTTCAATATCTCAAGGGCCTGTAAGGGATCCAGAGGGACTCTTTGTTAGGAACTGCAGTGATAGGACAAGGGGTAATGGATTCAAACTGAAGGAGGGAAAGTCTACGTTAGATGTGAGAAGAAAGTTTTTTACTATAAGGGTGGTGAGACATTGGAACAGGTTGCCCAGGGAAGCAGTGGCTGCCTCAACCCTGGCAGTGTTCAAGGCCAGGTTGGATGAGGCTTTGAGCAACCTGATCTAGTGAGGAGGTGTCCCTGCCCAGGGCAGGGGCAGGTGGGACTAGATGACCTCTAAGGTCCATTCCAACCCTTACATTCTATGATGATCTTCACAGGTTCAGTCCAAGTGATTGCATGCTGCTATCAAATGAAGATCTTGCTTTTGGTCTATTAGACAATGTAATACAGAGTATGTTGTATGAGGCAATCTGGGCTATGTGGAAATGTCTTGTTTGGTTTGCTGGGTGCTAGAAGGCTGCTGGTTGATACTGATAACATTTTTCTGAAGAGGCCTTCTCTCCAGGGAGATTAGCCTTTAATTCAATCTTCGCATTGGGACGGAATGCTTGCACTGCAGTGCAATGGCCATGGAATGGATTAAAATAAATGTTCATGGGAAAATTCATTGTCACAGGATGTTGTGGCAAAGAACCAATTGTTTCAGAAAAGGGATCAACCAAATGCACAGAGAATGAGCCCATCAAATGCAACTACATATGATGTCTGGATGCAATCTACAGCCTAGGAAGTCCCTATGGTGCTGACTATCACAGAGACAAGTAGGACATTTAGAAAAGATCATCCTATATGGGGGTTCAGTTTAAGCAGCATTACTTCAAGATTATTCAGTGTCTTTGTTCTTATGTATCCAAGTGGCAAAGGAGCCATTACAAATACAGAAGGCTGGAGGGAAAACTAATAGGTATACAACAAGTAACTTGCCAATTGTTAAGAATAATTAAAATTATTTTGACAGTTCTGATCATCTGTTGGAGCAGTCACTAGTGGGCTGTACCTATGAATAATCACTCAAAGAGGAACACATAGCTCTGAAAATGTAAGCACAACTGAGGAATAATAAAAATACAGGGCTAGAAGGCTGTCAAGATGTCATTTACATTTTCAAAGCAAGTCCTGATAGAAGTTTGTCTAAACTAGTCTTAAAAGCCTCCTGTGAAGGACTGAAAGACCATGATAATTCTTCCTGGCTGCAAAGTCTCATTAATCTACTGGACTTCAGAGAACTGCTTTTTCTTTGAAGAAATCAGGCTGGTTAGAATCTTTGATATCTTCATCTTCCAGATGTTTTATTAATTCAGTTTTAATCATCATTTCATGTTAGGCTTACTGATCCAAGACATCAAGTATTGTAATTATGAACACCATCTGTCACCCTATTTCAGCAAGGAAATTCTTCAGGTTATTTTCTGAAGCCATATCCTTTTGTGCCAAAGGAAACATCTAGCTCACAGAAGGAGTGAAAAAACTAGAATAGGGCCAGGGACAAAGACTGCTGCTGCCTAGCCCTGAAGAATCAAATTATGAATAAATAGCAAAGAACAGATGACTTAGGAGGGGACTGAGGTCTAATGATCCTGAGGAAGCATAATAAAGTAACAATGAAGAAAGGGCCAGGGAGGGGAAAAGGAAATGCTGACTGAGCAGAAGAAGATCATGGTAAGAAGAGACTAAAAAAGATGTCCTCCAGGGATATCTGGTGTGGAGTGTCAGATCCTCTCACTCCAGATGAAAACAAATTGGATCTTTGACTCTGCAGTCACGAGTTTACCTAGGCATATTCCTCATGTATTTCTGAACTTCTCTGAAAAAAATGGATGTTAAAAGCAGAAAGTTCTCCTGAATTCAGACCGGTAGGCACACGACTATGTGACTAAAGAAAGTAATGGTTTTTTATTTTCTTCCTCCAAAATTACTTCCTAAACATAGCAAATACAGCTTGACACTCAGACAGGGGCAAATAGACTATGATGTCAATTATAAATACTATTTGTAATAAAAAATAAGTACATTAATTACTTTAAAAATCTCCAGGCAGCAGAGGTTCCCTATCTCCTTTTAGATTGGGGAGTGGGAGATAAATGAAAATACCCACAAAATAACAGCAATTTCTGACTTCAAAGATCTTGCTCTTTTTGTTCAGAAAATTTAATGGAATTTCTGGCAAGGAACCCAGCCAAAATTGTTTCAAAGTCCTAAGAAACCATAACAGTAAGACTGCTAAGGTCTCTTGTGCAGTTGATTGCTTCGTTCCCTCTCCATACCACAAGGAAAAGGCTTCTTACCTGCAAGATGCGCATGTAAGCAGCTTGGTGCATTTCCTGATCCTTCACTGCCTTTTTTTTTAAAGCTGCCAAATCCCTCTCATGATACTCTTGCTGTTTCATGTACTGCTGCTGCAAATCTGTGTCTACTGATTCAGTCCCCACCTGAGAGGACACAGAATGTTGCCTCAGTAATTACACTACCAGACAAAATCATCTGCAAGGAGAAGGCAAAGGTCCTGACTCACCATGTCTGATTGTTGCACATACTTGGTGTAGAGTTCACAGATACAATATTTCATTTTTCTGGAATCTTGAATGAAGCCCACACAATTATGAAGATCTGCTTTAAATCGTTTTATGAGAGTTTCCATATTTTGCTTCTGCAAGAATGATGTAGTTACATTCTTATTTGGCTCATCAGAACACTCTATCATGTGTAATTTTCTAGAAAGTGTGGTGGAACTGGTGAAAATGCCAGCAGAAGGGGATGTCACCACTACATACTGAATAGCAGAGATACATTTTAGCAGTAATAATAAGGCAAGATACTTGCATTGGGTAATGTAAGTGCCAGCATCCAGAGATGGCTCCTGAAAAACTGTGGCTATTGCCCACTGTTCTTTCCCAAACACCCTACCTTCTTATTTAGAAAGAACATACCAACAGTTAACAAAAGAAGTCAAGGGACAAATCACATATCAGACACAGTAACAGCTTTCTGATTTCACATCGAGATTGCCTTCTCATTCTTTCTTAGTTTCTACCAGGCCCCTCTACCTGCTTCCTCACTCATGCATCACCTGCTAAGCTCCCCCACCTTCACCTGCAGTCCTCTGCCTCCCTCATGTCTGATGTGCTTGTCAAACAAGAGGTCCTTGACTCATTCATTAATGAGTCTACCCTTTATTTCATCCTCCTAATGCCTTGGTGCTATCCTACATGTTGCTCCTGTTTAGATCAAGTGTCTCCAGATTTCAAGCTCGGGCAGGAATGGGCAGTTAGGTAAGCATTTGCCTCACTGTTCTGATAAACCCAGGAGAATATGTGTTGACACATAAATAACTGGATTATTTTTAATATCAACTCTCTAACCTGGCTGCAGGCTTAGAAGTTTTCTGTCTTTGTTCCCACTGACCTCTCATGGTCCTTGGGCACAGTACCCCTGAAGTACTTGTTAGCTCAGATTAATGCTCCCACAGTGTTCTGTCCCCACAAATGTCATTCCACAGGACCTGTACAAGTGGCTGTGCCCCATACCTTCTGCCTCTCTCTGTGGATCTCACCATAGGTTGCCTTTAGTTTCTCTTGCAGTTGTGTGATGTTCAGCTTCAACTGTGTGCTCTCCTTGTGGAATCGTTCCAGCTCCCCCTCCATCTGAAAGGAAGCAGGAGGAGGAAATCAGAACTAAAACGAGACATGAAAAAACAACTCCTAACAGGAAAAACAGAGACTGGGAACAAAGACTTGAGGGAGAAGCGCCCCCTTCAGGTTGAATTACAAACCGAAAACGTCAATTTTGGAACAACATTGCCCTCTGTCAGAATATACAGAAACCACAACACGGAATATTCCTCTCCCTTCTGAGTTACATTCATTAAAATGATGCGATGTCCCTTCATTTCCTTGAGCTGAACTGGAGCTTTACTGTTCCATCTGAATAAAAATGTATGAGCTATAAATGAACAGTCAATACTGGAAAGAGTAAGGGCAACACTAAGTAGAACCTGATGCTGAAAAGAAACAAATGAATTGAAAAACTGTAGGTACATATGTAGAATACACAGGAAAAAAACAATTAGGGTATCACAGCATTTAATGGCATAAGATGGTGACCAGAAGAGACAACAGGGATTTCATCATGCTAGTCTGAAGTACACACAAATTGTTCATTAGTTTGCATGTTATTGAAGAGGCTACTGTTCTGCATAAACAGACTTATGAAAACTGAGTCACTGATTAGCTATGTCACCATAATCCTAGTTTGGCTGAGCTAAGGGTACATCTGTGGAGAGATGATACTAAGTTCCTATCATAAATAAGTTGCCTCAATGAATTTACTACAAGCTAAGTATGAATACATGCAAATTTCCCACATATCAGCTGATTAATATAATTTTTCCATGCACCTAACCCCTAAGCAGAATTGTTTCCACAAATCTGCAATTTTTCTGAGAGAAGTCCACTCTCTTTTCCTCCAAAACAGTAAAAGCAGTGTCTTGCAAGCCCTACAGGGTACATGGAAGGAAACCACATAAAGATAAGATCTATTTTTAAGCAAAATCTAGAATACTGAAACAGGAAGTTAAATAACTGTGTTGGTCCCTGGTAGCTTGTGATAAAAAATTAAATACCAGCTATTTTTATTAGCTCCAAAGATATTGGACCAGTGCTGTGTATCCTTGGAAAAAGTCAAGGAACAAACAGGATGGAATCTTTCATGGGACCTGTTGGGTCATCTTTGTATTCAGACAAAGGGCTTAGTAGCAGAGGCCAAATGAGAATGTTACCTCATGGATCTGTTTCTTCATTGTTTTAGCATCATTTTCACGTGACTCCATTTGCTTCTCAAGCTCCTCTATTTTGCAACTCAGTACAGACTTGAAATTTTGCAGTTCCTGGTTTTTCATTTTTAGGTCAGAGATATGTTTTTCCTGGAAGAAATCAGTACAGAGCTCTGAATCAGACCAGCACTCCCAAACAGATCCCTAGGACGAGGCACAAACATGGTAGAGGCAAAACCAACAGTCACACATCTAGCAGAAGACTGAACTTCAGCTGCAAGTCTACAGATTGAGTGAGAAGGGAGGGGAAAAATAATGCAGAGCCATCTAGAGATCCCATAACAGGGAACGAGAAACTCAATATGCTGAACCTGAGCTCCCCAAGGAAAACTTAGAATGTCAACTAAAAAACAAAATCTCAAATTCTTTAAGTTAAAACTGAGTTTCCAGTCATGCGATATGATCACAATAAATACTGTGAAAATAAATATTTGTATAAAATTAAGGGAGGTGATTTTGATCTCAGCCAACTGTCCAGTTTCTCACCTTGTCTAGGATAGTGTCAATTCTCTCTTTAAGCTCTGTCTTCAGTGCCAAGATGTCCTTCTCCAGTGACTTAATGGTGTCTTGCAGCTTCTGTTGTTCCAGTCTCATTTCCTCAGTATCCCTGTTTCGTTTCTTGAGCTCTTTCTGTAGGTTGTTCAACTAGAGAGGCAAAAAAAGTAAGAACTTAAGAGTTTCCAAAAGCTGTGCACAACTTAGCCATCCTATTCTGTAAGATACCCTGTAGACAGTGTGGGATAAAGGATATCAAACTACCATATGATGAAGGAGCATCACATCAGTTATGTGCCTGTAACTCAAAAGGGGGTTGAATATCCATTTTTGCTTTTTTCTGTATATTCTGATGTAATACTCACTGCAGTACAAGGAAGCAAGGAATTTGCATCCAGAAACAAGAAGGGTATGGATATTATACCCAAGAATCATCTGCAGAAAACACTCAATCCATGGAAAATTCTTTTAAGGTGGAAGGGTATCCAGGTCATAGCTCCTGGGTACTCTCAAAATCCCTGTCTCAGTTCCAAGATCTGTGAATTCAAGAATGTTGGAACCAATGAATGGTTCTGGACAAACTGTGAAGACCCATGAAGAATTTCCTGATGTCTAGAAGACAATGAAACTAAAGGCAGTACCATGATACTAGAGGGCATGAAAAGAACATCTCTGTTTTCACATAGATACTGATGGAAATGAAAGAAAAAATGTCCCTCTGACATCCTCAGGCAACTATAATACCCAGACAATAAAAGAGGTAAAAGATTTTGTGCCTCCTTAAAATTCCTAGTAAAACCAATAAAAAATGATGATGCATACAAAACACAGTGTTTATGACATCAAATGAAGCAGTAGAAGTATTTTACTAACAAAGCAATGCATTAGATCTCAGGAAAATTAAAAGGTTCATTTCTTTCCCATCATAGGATGAACAATGTTACTTATAATTTAAAACTATGTAGATAAAAGGATTTGTACTAATAAAAACACATCACCTTTATCATATCTCTCTAATCATATCAGTAACACAATCAGCACAGAGATGCTTCCTCTGCCCAAAGACTCTAAAACATTTAGACTAATGTAAGAAGGGGCTATTGGTCTCATATGAAATGCCACATATGTACAGACTAAATTAACAGACTAAATTGACATGGATTAATCACATTCAATCCTCAGCTATAGGTCTCTACATGCAGCTCTGGTACTACCACAGAATGAAAAATACCCTTTTATTCGTGACTCCTATTTCCCCTTTCAGTTGCAGGCTGGACTCTTTTCCTTCTGCGAGCTGTTTCTCATACTTGAGTTTGATTTCCAAGATTTCTTGGTCTCCATCTTCATAGATTTGTTTCACAGTTTCTTCATGTGCTTGAAGCTGCTTCTTTATATTCTCCTCTGCCTGCAGTTAAGGAAAGCAAATATTAGAGAAGACAACAGTAAGAGAACAATAAAAGAGAGGAAAAGTCTTTACTTGTAGCTGTGTTTCTCCTGGGAGGATCTATATTTAGTGGACTCTTCAATTGCAGCAACATCATTTAAGGTAATTTAATTTCTTAGGGGATTAAAGTAACTTTAAAAACTGGTAACATAGACTTCAAATTTTATTGTATAAATAATTCTTAAGACTTGAATGTTTCAAGTTAGGAACCTGGCCCAAACAGTAACCTCAGCAAACTTGTTCTGCCTGCAGAAATCACAAACCAGTAACACTTGAGATCATTTAAAATTGCTGTTTCCGATGCATTAGGACAAATAACCGCTCAGGTTTGTCTCAGTTTCTGTATGCCTCTCTTCCCACACTCTCTTCAAATTGGTATTGCAACACAGCACTGCAAACAGTAATGTTGGATAGGATTTATTTACTCTAGATATGTAAGTATTTGTTATCTGCCTGCCCTTTGTCAAGCCAAGTCTTTGACCTCAATGTGCAGGAGTTTTTGAAGCACTCAGGGTATTTACTTTTGTTCCCCAAATTATGCAGGTAGGAACCTAAAGGACTCAGGAATTTAATTCACCATTTAAAAAAAGTTATCTCTTCACTGGAACAACATGATTAAATCCTTCTTCAATTACAGCTGAAGTATAATCTAAGCCACATTAATAAACAGGTGTTCCTAGATTTAGGAGAAATGGAGACAAAGCTGAGAATGTCCTAGGATATTAATCTTAGCAGGTTACTTACTCAAGTTATGAAGCCCAGAAAAGTTAGTAACTCAGTGGCATTTTCCTCATTACTGTTCTACCTGTCAACGTATTTTCCCAAGGTTACAGGCAGATCAGGATTTGCATGGAAGATGCCAACCTCTCCTCTCCTAGAGAACATGTTACTACAGTTGAAGATAAGCTTGGTCAACAGACCAAACCATAAATCACATTTCATACCTGTTTCAGCAGAACAGATTTCTCTTTAAGTTGTTCTTCATAATATTCTCTTAGTTCCTCCACAGCCCTGTTTTTGCTTTCCTTCAGATTGTGCAATTGTTTATCATATTCCTCCTCCATCTCCTGGGATTTCAGTTGCAGCTCCTGGTATTTCTCATTACCCATTAAGAGTTTCTGATTACTGTCAGACTCTGTTAACAAGAAACATATAGAATGGATAAAACAAATAGAAAAGAGAGGTGAATCCTACCCTTTTACAGTCATCACTGTCTTATTCTTACTGTCTTTTTGGCAGATGGTTGCAATAAATTATAGTAGAAGCACTTCATCACTTTCTTCATCAGATATACAGCGGTTTTAGACTCTATGGCCACACAAAATTGACAACTAATCTAGGCATTCCCTTGAGATGGCAACTATGGCAGAGGTGTATAAGCTCAACTGTTACAAAGTATGAGCAGGCAATGGACTCATTCATGGGTGGACTTGCTCTTTGGTATTAATTTGCAGTATTTTTATCTTGATCATGAATCTGGGGCCCAGGTCTTTCCATGCTGTGTGCACTGTACATTAGCCTACTTGCTCAACTGTATGACTTCACTATTCTTGCACAGTGAGCTATAAAATAAAGAAGTTACCAATCTCAAGAACCAAACCTCTAATATACATGTGCCCATGTGCATGTTCTAATCATGGGCATGTGTGTGGTGCAGATGAGACAAATGTTTGGTCTGCAATACCTATATGACATTTTTCCTTGTACTTCTAGTCTAGTAGTTCCTCCTTGTCACATTACTTGCTATTAATCTAAAGCATTTCCTCCAGATTCTAGTTGCAAACACTTGTTATAGTCTAACCTAGCTGTTGCACCACCCTGGCTTGTTTATTCATCAGCTCAGACAGTTGCAACTGGTGTTGTAGCTCCTGTTTTTCTTTCTCTGCCTGTAAAATCTGGGGGGAAAAATAAGAAAAATACATTTTAATTTAAAACTAGGCAAATAAATGTCCAGATGGTTAGTAGTCTTCCTTGTGGTGGAGAGTATATACATATCAGAACCATGTTTGAATTCTCTCACCAAAATTCCAATGCCATGTGTCACTAATAGAAGTTTCCCCAGAGATTAGTTTGCTATGACAAGTTACAAAACCATGGAAAGCTAAGGGAAAGTAGTAAAAAGAGTTGATATAATGCAGGGTAATGTAAAATCTTAGTCTAACAAGCAAAGTTGGTGAGCTACAAAAGCTTCCACTCCATTCTGTGTGCTTGCTTGAGGAGAATTTGCAGTTCCAGAAATTGTTGTCCAGATATTAAAGATCAAGCTGCTTCTGGCCTCACTTGAAGCAATTCTGAGGTCCTAAAACACTGGACATTTGCATAGTATGAGATAAGCAAGAGAGAGTTTTGAATGCCATTTGCTTGAAATCTCTGACTACTACTAAATCTGAATTAATCTTCTAAAAAAAGCACAAAGAACTGGAGCAAGAAAATGGGTGAGAAATTTCCCAGAAAAGCTAGGAATTGTACCATAGGTACAACTTTCTTGCCTTCTCCTTAGAACAACTGCACGGGTCTTGCATAAGCAGAAATATTCTACTTTTCTAATGGATACAACTAGAAAGGCTATCCCCAAGCCTGTCCAAGGCTGTTGTTCAGTTTAATCTTAACATGCACTGATACTTGGACAGGAAGCACAACCTGCCTGCCTAGAAAACCTTTACTGACCTTTTGCATTTGCTTGCAAGCCTATTATCAACAAACATATAGAATTTTCAGTATGGCAGAGATTATTACAACTCTATAGCCAGTGCAACTTATCAAAAGACCTGAAGAACTGCAGAAGAAAAACAGCACAGATAAAACACAGGCAGAGGAATCTACAAGAAGTGAAATGGCTTTCTTGTGCAAGGTTCAGTTGTACAAAAAACAAGAAGGAAAATAGAAAGGTTAAAACTCAGCTTATTTAAATGAAAAAAACACATTGAGAAAAGCCAAAGAGTCTGAAGAACTACTTGAAGAAAATACTAAAATGATAAATTAAACTTCCTCAAAAAATAAAAATCAGAAACCTACTAGAACATCTGTAGGGCCAAAAGACAAAAAGTTGTAAGAGGAGCACTTGAAAATTACAAGACTGTAAAATACTAAAACCAGTAAATAACTTGGCAAGCTTTCATACTAGAATCCTTTTTTATGTGGAGTCAAACTGAAATACTGCTTGAAGGGACTATGTGCAACTCAACAAAATAAGCAGTAACAAATCACCATGACAGGTGATGGTAAAGCTCAAAAAGAACATGAGGTCGACAGAATTGAATCATGTGACATGTAATCTCTTACATAAAACCTTCTTACTGTGAGAGAATTGCTACTGGATCACTTGCCTTCTAAAGCTACAAAGGTTCTAGAAATATAGTAAAGTACAGGTCAGAAATCCAGTGTGTGCCCCAGACAGATGGACAGAATAGAACAAATAGACACAGCTAAATAAGACACTGGGAAGAATTATTGTAGCCTTTGCCTTTCAGGGAAGTTCTGCTTCATGACCACAGAGAAATCAATAAGCACATAAATAGAAGAGATCCTGAGAACATATTTTGCATCTCTTTTTGAAAAACATACAAGACACCTCAGCAGATGTTCTTAAAAAATCTAAGCAGACAGGACAGAAAGCATAACTGGCAGATCCTGCGGCAGCTGCAACCCCATATGCAAAGGAGCTTTTAAGGCACAATCCCATTTCTGCTCATGGGTGAAATGGCTTACTGATCCTTGCTCTCAGGCAGTATTTGTTGTACTGTTTTTATGTGAAGATACAGGATACCTAGGAGAAGTCTTGCATCCCCTTGTACCTGTAAGATACTTGACTCAGAGGCAGATTCATGCTTTACAAATATCAAGAACATCTCTATTGGGAAGGAATGATTCATTTTTTCAAAAGCTTTATGGCACATACATATGTAATGCAAGCTTGAATTCAACTCTTCAGTGAAAGATTTCATGGTATTTGGTTCTGCAATATGAATCATACCTCGTGTTTGGTTTTAAGGGAGTGTATTTCCTGAGTGAAAGTATCTTCCAATGCCTTTATTTTTCCATTATAGTACATGTCCCTGAGTTGTAGCTCATAATCATATTCTGTCTGTAGATCTTTCACATCCATCTGCAGGTCTAGCATTGCCTGAGTCTGGTAGGACATGGATGAGAAGACAGTTTTAACAGAGAGAATATTTGCCATTAGCAACAACTTGTTAAGGATGTTTTATTTACATGCATATATTTATGAATGGCAGCCTTTGCAGAGAATTTTCAGACAGACAGACCACAAAGTTCCAGAAGTGGGAGTCCTTTGTTATCTTACAACAATGTTTATAGAAATGCAGCTTCTGACTTCTCTACTCCATTAAAAGTGATTTCAAGACGTGAGGGAAAGTACTTAGGGAAAAGTCTAAACCACACACACACTGTACAATGCTCTTTCCATATTAACAAACAGCTGCAGCTATTTGCTGAACTTCTTTTCGTGATAAAAGCCATGCAAGTCACAAACATCACTCAAATGTACACTAGGAATCCTAAGGTTTATGTTCACAAGCTGCTCTTCCTACCTTCTGTTCTATATCTGATCTCATGATCAGCACTTCCTCGGCATACTCCACTTCCTTCTCCAATTTCAGTGTCCCACCTTCTTTATGATACATTTTCCAGATAAATATACAGCCATCCTCTGAGACAGTCAGTAGAAATTCGTCATCATTTGTCACTGACATCTTAGAAGGTAGAGACAACAAAACAATAGAAGAGACACAGAAGAATGGAGACACAGTTTCATTTTATACCAAATTTTTCTCCCCACCCACATACTCTCTTCATTTCTATCACAAAAAGTCAAGTGGAAATAATAACATAGCCCCACTACCAACATTTTGGGTATGTCTTCTACTCTTGTTCCAACCTGGTTGAAACAATAAGGGAAAAGAAAGAAAAGAAGAACATGTGTAGACATTGGATCTGTTTCTGCCCTCAGTCATAGGAAGATATTTTAAAACCTGGTACAAAAAAGACCTTCTAGAGAGTTACAGCACAGAGAGGCAACTTATGTGACAATTCTAAAGGTGTCTAGAATTTTTCTTTGAGAATTTGCTTGAGCAACAGATAGCTAAATGTTTTCTTTTGAAACTGCAACTAAGCTCACCAAGAACTATCTAGTAATAGCTACCGTCACCTCCTCCAGATCCCTTGTGGCTGCATGGCCTGGCATAGAATACTTGGGAGCTGATACAGCTTACGAGCAAGGTGAAAGGAGAGTTCCCATAACTGAAGCTCATATTCTAATGTTGAACAGTGCAACTCTTAGTCAAGGTGCTGTTGTTGACAGTGATACTTAAAATACCAAAATTATGGCCAATTTTAACAAGACAGAACGTGTGACTTCCTGGAGAATGGGGATCTATCCGATCATACTGAGGGAACTGGCAGAAGTGCTCACCAAGCCCCTCTCAATAATTTGTCAGCAGTACTGACTTACTAAGGAGGTCTCAGTTGACTGGAAGTCAGCAAATGTGATGCCCATCTACAAGAAGGGCTGAAAGAAGGAAGGATCCAGAGAACTACAGGCCTGTCAGCCTGCTACCTTGGTGCCAGAGAAGATCATGAAGCAGGTCATCTTGAGCACCACCAAGCAGCATGTACAGGACAACCAGGAGATAAGATCCATCCAGCATGGGTTTATGAAAATCAGATCCTGCTTGATGAACCTGTTGTCCTTCTGTGACAAAGTGACCCACTTAATGGATGAGGGAAAGGCTGGAGATGCTGTCTAACTGGACTTTAGTGAAGTCTTTGACATCATTTACCACAGCATTCTCTTGGAGAAACTGGCTGCTCATGGCTTAGATGGGCAGAAATAGTGTGGTCAGCAGGACTAGGGAAGGGATTGTGCCCTTGTACTCAGCACTGGCAAGGCCACACCTCAGGTACTGTGTCCAGTTCTGAGCCCCTCATGACAAGAAAATACATTGAGGTGCTGGATTGTGTCGAGAAAGGAATAGAGCTGGTGAAGGGTCTGAAGAACAAGTCTCATGAGGAGTGGCTGAGGGAGCTGCAGGTGTTTAGCCTGGAGAAAAAGAGATTTAGGGCAGACCTTATTGCTCTCTACAACTACCTGAAAGGGGGTTGTAGCGAGGTGGGGATCAGCCTCCTTTCCCAAGTAACAAGTCATAGGACCTGAGAAAATGGCCTCAAGTTGCACTAGGGGAGGTTCAGATTGGATATTAGGAAAACATTCTTCAAGACGGTTGGCCACACTGGAACAGGCTCCTCAGGGAAGTGGCGGAGTCACCATTTCTAGAGGGATTTAAGAGATGTGTAGATAGGGCACTTAGGGACATGGTTTAGAGTGGATGTGGCAGTGCTGGGAGTTAATGGTTGGACTTGATGATCTTACAGTTTTTTCCAATTAAAAGGGTTCTATGACACTGTGATTCTATGATAATTTTATCTTCCTTTTTCCAGAAAGAGCTGTATCAAAGTTCTCCATCAGACATTTGCCATGTTTCGTAACCTGGTGCAAGCCAGTTTTTAGCCAACAGCTTATTCCATCACATTTCTAGAGACAGGACTTCTATGAATGCTGTAATCATTCTCCACGTGCAGGCTCAACCTTAGTTTTAGCATATTATGCTACGAAATGGGAAGGAGAATCAGCCCTAAAGGTATCACAGGGAGAAGAAACTACAGTGTTACCTTTGTAACAGCACCTGCATGGGCCTGATACTCGCTGAAATCCATCGTCAGAGTTAATGGGTACTTCATAGCTCGAATTGTCCCCAGAGATGTACCAACAAATACCATGGACCCAGAATGAGAAACAGCTACAGCAGTATAAACAACACCATGAGCAGGTACTTCATGCTGGATCTAAAAATAAAACCAACAACACAAAATCCTCACATTACAGCAAGTATTTGATTATGTACTGCAGGAGCAATTGTCATACTTCTGCCTGCAGCAAGTAATGCAGTTAAAAGAATCTACAGGCCCATAGGGATAAAGCCATGAAGAGTAATTAGTATTAAGCTTTATAGATATGCAGTATTAAAATTTCAAGCCAAGTTTGACACGTTGATCACTTCTGAAAGATGTAATGGTTATCACATACAATTTTCCACATTTCTGGACAAAAAAAAAAAAAGTATGTAGCCCACAGCAGTAGATGTGATACACTTGTATGTCAGCAAGCATTTGAGACAATATTGCCTAGTTAATCTGTTAGCTGGATTAGAAGACTTCTAGGTAAATCCAAGTAAAGTTACAAAAAGTACAAAACTAAAACAAAATTTCACGTTTCATGGTAAAGGACGTATGAACACAAGAAAATTGTGATTAAATACCACAGCTCTGAAAACCAGACCAATTCCTACTTACCAAAAGGATGATAAGGAAACCAAAGCACTAGAATACTCCCCAGAGAATTTAGCAAAATCCCAGAGTGCTTGTTAACTCACCGAAGACTCTGAAATTTCTTTGAGAGTTTGGTCAGATCCAACAGCAAAGATGATTTTGGCATCAGAAGACAGGGCAATACTGCTGTAGATGCAGGACTTGAGTACACACTCTGACTCTCTTTTACCTGTCAACAAGTTCCACTCATACACAGAACCATGTGTGTCACAGGAGACAATCTTAGTGTCATCTGCATTCCATTTAACTGCATGTATCTGGCAAAAGCAAAACACACCAATGAGCTTGATGTGTATTTACAGACATACAGCATGGAGTAATTTTACTGCTACACCCACGACAACTTTGGAATCATACTTCAAAGTCTTGCTTAAAAAACCCTACATGTTTCTCAACTAATTCTATTTTAGCATTAAAACCACCCCACAAAATCAGTAAGAACTACTTCATGAACACACTGTCAGGAAAAAGTTAATTTCAGTACTGAGTAGTATATTCTATTTTTATAATTTATTATGGGGATATTTTTCCTGGTCGAGTTTCCTGCAAATCATTCACCTTCAATTTAAGGACAGGCTTTAGATGTACCTAAAGCATGCACATATTGCCTTCTGATCAAAGAAAACTGAGTTTTGTATTTCTATTCTTAATTTTGGGCTCATTTCAGACCCAAAATTATATTTTACCTCTTCAATTATCAACTAGTTAATATGTGAATGACTTGTATTGCATAGCATTTGTCTACTAACCTTCCCACTATGTCCTTTCAGATAATTAATATTCTCAAAGGTGATGCTGGAATAAATTTGAATCACATTTCCATTAACTGCAGCAAAAAGATGGCCTCCATTACTGAATGAGCACTACGGAAACAACATAACTTACATTACTTACTGTAGATAGAGTGGATAAAAACATTAATGCATCAAATTTCAACGGCATCATCTAATATCACATTGTTACATAGAAAGAAAACTCCATTACATAATTAGCCCATTATTGCTTTCTTAATTGGTGCTTTCCCCTGTAAAATTCAGCCCTTGAGTATTTCTGAGCAAACTACTCCTTTCTGCTGCTTCCCAGGTCCACAGTTATGCATCAGCCTCTGAGCTTGTTTTCTGATAGCCAGAATCCATTTCCCTAGGCTTTGCAATCCTAAATCCTACTAGGATGTATTGGAGAAGTTTCTGTCTTCTCTCATGTTCTTCACCACTCTGCTCCCTATAACTCTCCAATCCCAATTTTGTACCACTCCTTACCTCTTCACACTTTCTCACAGCAAACTCCTTGCAAACATGCAAGTCCTCATACAGCAGACTTATAAATCGGAGTTTGTCAGAAAACCCAACCAAGCAGAACAGGCCAGTGGGATGAAGTGACACTGCGTATGCTTCCTCATGGTATTCCTTACACAGCTCCAAAGTGCTGAAAGAGAAAACCATTGTGCAGTCTGGAACAGTACAAACTCCCAATGCACACTTGACAGGACATTATCTGGCCGAGCAAGGACATCTGCTGCTGCAATCCTACTCTGCCTTGTCCTTGAGGAAACAGGTTGTTATTCAGCTAAGTAATGATCACACAGATGTTACAGGAAACTTTCTGGTTCACAGAGAAAGTGTGGAAGATACAAAAGGAAATCCTTGTGTACTGTAATATAATGAAGTAGGCAAATGCTGATTGCAAACCTACAGAAACATCTCTTGAGATTTTTTTCCCTCTCTCCCTCCACAGAGCCTTAAAAGCTGGAGTCATTTTGCTTAAGAACTATTGCTAAGAAGCAGGAGATGGGACAACAGTATCTTAAGACAAAGCTCAATAAAACTTTCCTGAGGATTTTTTTCCAAAACCCAAGAAGTCTGACACAAAAATAGCAGAATAGAAAAGGCTTTGGATCCTTTTGGCACTGTTTTTAAAGGCACTGCATATTCATACTCCCCAAATCATGTCAGTAAGACCATTCACATCCCACACTACACAAGAATTTTACCAGAACAACACTCTCATTCATATAAGATTGCTGCTGCTGCCTGCTAAATACAATATACAAAAAACCAAGGGATAATAACAAAGAGAAACAATACTTCACTTTTTCTTGTAATTCCAGATGCGCACAGATTTATCCAGGGAACAAGTAGCAAGAATGGGTTTCCAAACACAGATGTCCAGACCAGTGATTGAATCAGAATGCAATGGGAAATTCAGATATGCAAAATAAGATGTCTTCTCCTGCAAAGCAATGAGAACATTAACAAATCACAAATATTTCATTGCAGGCAGTAAGTCAGATACGAAATCTATAATGAGTCTTTGCATACAGTAGTAGAATAGATTTGAGGAAATCACTTTATCCTTTACTGCACTGGTCTGAACACACCAATGTTAAAAATGTAGCAATGTTAGTTTTAACTTTGTAAAAAATAATCAAGAAAAGTGATGCAGGGGAGACATAAGCTACATAGCTCTCATACACTAGCAAGAGCAGAACATAATGGCAGGTATAAAAAAAAAAAAAGGGTAAGTCAGATAAAACTGGACCTGCAAGAATTCAGTTAAGACCTTCTGGTTATGGAGATATTTTAAAAAATCAAGTGCTGAGTGATAAGCAACTTAACCTGGATGTTTATGTACCACATGCTGGAAGTGAAGCACCAATAAAATTTCAGGCTGCATGAGAAAAAAAGGATCAGTAACTATAACCCCCCATTCCTGTGAAGATCTTTCCATACGTATTTAACATATACATTTATCTCTTGACTTCGCATTATTTTATTCCTTCAGAGTGGGGAAGATTTTCATTATGTTTGTCTTTCACAAAGAGGTTTCACTTCTAATTAGGACTTCAACAACTATTACTTTAGAGTAACATGAGATTCGCATGGCTGTTCCACCTCCATCACTGCATGAAAGTTTCTATATATCACAGCAGAGCATAAACTACTCCAGTTACACAAAAAATATCTCTGTTAAAGCCTTTCTTAAGTGGGTCAG